TCTCATATAACTAATGTTTAATGGAGTAGATAAACAATAGATATGCTAAAATGTTAGTCAGTTTTAAAATCTTTACATACAATTTATTAATGCAAAGATAATAGTAACTTTGCTGTTGCTTAAAAGTAGGGTGTTAGGGAAGGCCTCTCTGAGTTTAAAAGAGAAAAGGAATCATTAAAATCTAGGAGATGGAACAAGAGTTGCAAAAAATGCCCAGTGGATCAGTGCTGTTGCTTATATGAGGTAAAACAGGGTGGAGAGGGGCTGCGAAGTATGTTTTTTGCTGCATTTGGATAAGTTTGCCTTGTGTCTTTCAAAGTAACTTGAAATGGTTATTGGATAAGCTGGAATTGAAAGAACATGTCAGGCAGAAGGAAATTCATGTAACATTTGGATCGGCCTAAACACCAGGTAAAGTCTGGTTGGACAATGAGGAAGAAGCAACTCCAAGTTTGTTGTTACAGAAGCATTGAGAACACAGTTCAGTTATCTGTTGTTTTTCCTTATTTCAGTGGGATGAGTCAGCATTTCTCTCTAGAAGAATCATATTTCCTCCTAATAGCTTATGTGTCGAACATCAGGTGGATACTGGTTCCTTTGTTGTCCTTCTGTTGGCTCAGGGACTGATTCATTTCAACTGATACCAAGAGAAAGATGAACAAATATTTATTGAGCATGGTGATAGGTATCAGAGCTGTAATGATGAATAAGGGATTATCTCCTGCCTTTCGGAATCTCACGATCTGGAGAGAAGTCAGAACAAGTAAATAGCAGGACAGTACAGAGCTAAAGTGAGCCTAGGGCAACAGGAAGTTGCCTTCTTCAGGGAAGGAGGTTGGGAGAGAGAGAGCATCCTCCCTAGGAAATTCAGCACCCCTCATTAAGACACAAAAATGAACATGATTTACCGGGTGACTGTAGGATATGGTACGGTGGATGATGGAAGGTGACCTTCATGGAGAATAACAGACTCAGGGGCCAGGGAGAGTGACTGACGTAGTCAGAGAATAGCAGTCCATGGAGGGAAGACCGTGCCCTCTGTGTGGCAAAAGGAATTCTGAGGACAGGCTAGAAGGTGAGCTGGGAGATAGCCTTGAAAGGGCATTGTGAGTCACATGAGCAGGCCTCACTCTGAGTACAATGCAGAGTCCAGCCCAGTTACAGAGAGGGGAGTTGCAGAGTTTTGCTCTAGAGGATGGGGCAAGGCCCAGTGATAATGAGGCTCCTTTATTTGCCAATTGTGTGCTTTCTATGCTGTGTAACTGAAAAAAGTGACAAATGAAACAAGCATCTTCACTGCCCTAGAAACACATTGACACCCTTAGATTTTATCTAGGAATCAGCATGGGATGTATCCTGTATCCAGGTCAGTGAGATATATATGGGTTGGTTAGATGAAATATAGAAAGACCAGGAGGGACTACAGTGTCTACTAGCCGGTGATAGAGACAGGCTGAGATGGCACAATGAAAAGAAACATTATTTTATGTGTATGCACGTGTCTGAGTGTATGTATGTGCAGCACATGTGTGCAGGGGCCCTTGGGAGAGGGTGTGAGGGCAAGACTTGTTCAGTGACTGAGTGTAAGTGGTGACGAAATTGGCAGATGAAAGGATTGGCCTGTGGTCTCTGATGTGAGTGGCACGGGAGCAAGATGTTTTATTACACTGAGAGAGAAATTCATAAGGTATGTATGAAGAGGGTGAATGCTGTGTTTTAGAATTATATTATTTTCCCTCCAACATTGGCAAAACAGTCAGCCAAACCAAACCAAACCCAACCAAACAAAACCAAATCAAATCAATTCCCAAACAATGTTCTGTAATGCATTACTAAATTTATATATCGACTTTTGGTAAAAATTAAGACAATCATTTGCCCAACATCCAATCAAATTATATTGTTATATTGTTTCTGGGAGATGTAGTTCTGATTTTATGTAACTAGGGTGAGAAAGGATACAACTATGGAATTATGCAAAGATGACTCAAAAGGCATAGGAAGACATTTCTATATGAGTAGTCAGTGAAGACTGCCTCATAAACACAGGTAGCAGGCTGGAGGCTGTGAGAGCCAGTGACCATGTGACCACTCATCTCCTCACTCAGAGCCTTGACTTCAGAAGCACAAAGATGGCCTCTGAGCGTATCAACACATTTGTTAACTGTAGTTGGACTTTCTTTGGACCATCAGCTCCCAAATAATGACACAGACTTCTTATTAAGTATGAAAGTTTGACCTTAGTTTGGACTTGTTCCCAACTAGCTCTTATAACTTAAATTAACATGTTTATATTAATCTATGTTCTGCCATGTGGCTTGTAACCTATCCTCCATACCATAATCCCATTTCCTCTGTGTCTGGCTGGTGAATCTCTACCACTCAGATTCCTTCCCAGAGTTCCTATCTCTGCCTCGAAGTCCCACATGTCCTCTCCAGCCTAACTATTGGCCAGTCAGCTCTTTATTAAACCAATCAGAAGATGCCTTAGCAGAGACACAAATGGGATTGACTTTAATAAAGAAAATATGAAGAATAGGTAAACAGAGAATATATATATACACACACACACAATTGTTCCAATCATTTTGGTGGAACATCGTTTATACTAGTAGAGATTCTAGGTCAAGGGGAACTTTAATTTGAAGAGGTAAGAATTATTATAGGAACACACACTCTCACGTACATAAACATAGAATTGACATATGAGAAAACACAGGGGAGATTTGTCTTTATGAATCTGGGACATTTTGCTTACCTAATAATTTCCAGTTCTATCTTTTCTCCTGCAAATGTCTTGATTTCATTTCTCTTGATGGCTAGTTATATTAAATTCAATGGGCATCATGGGCACCATGTTTTCCTTGTCTGCTCATCTGTTGATGGACATCTAGGGTGTTCCATTTCTTAGCCATTGTGAGTAAACATGTATGTACAAGTGTCTCTGTGATGGGACTTAGAGGCTTCTGTGTGTATATCAAGGAGAGATTCATCTGGGTCATGTGGTACTTCTTGCTTTAAATTCATCAATTTCCATCCTCCACCAACCAGGAGTAAGGATCCTCTTTCTTTACATCCTCACCTGCATTTGTTGTTATGTGAAGTAAACCAAATTTGTGTTAACTTGGTCTCATCAGGGGATTGTAAATACCTCCTGCAATGTGATCTACTCTTCTCAACCTACTTTCTTTATCTCCTTAACTGATCTTAGTCATCAATGTGTGTAGATGTAAACAACCTTCTTATTAAATAAGAAACACAGAACCAATGCAAAGAAGAAAGCCAAGAGGTCAGAGTTAAGAGCTAAAACCTTACCCTTCCTCCTGCAGTGGTCCTACCTCTCCGAACCAGAGCTACCCTTGTGTTAAAGTCTTTTTATAGAGTTCCTGTTCTGCCTTCTCATTGGTTGTAAACCCAACCACATGACCGCCTCGTCACAGCCTGTCTGTATAGGCCTCCAGGTTTTCTATGATTGGTATTGAAATTAAAGGCATGTGTATCCAATAATGGCTGTATCCCTGAACACACAGAGACTTACCCAGCTCTGCCTACCAAATGCTGGAATTACAAGTGTACGCCACCACTGCCCTGCTTTCCTATGGCTTGCTAATAGCTCTGACCCCCGGGCAACTTTATTTATTAACATACAAATAACATTTTAATACAAATAAAATATCATCATAAATGTGCTTGAGCCTCCTAGGTTGTCCCTCTGAGTGAAAGATTAAAGCAAGTCTTTAACACATTTTGCTTTCTTTTCTCTGGAAAAAAGTCAGTAGACTATAGTTTCAACAATTCTTTCTTAAGACGAATGAAAAAGTGCCTAGGTATATGGTGGTATTTTATTCGTACTGAAATGTGATTTTAATTGTATGTTAATAAATAAAGTTGCTGGGGGTCAGAGCTAATAGCAAGCCATAGCAGAGCTGGGTGTTCATGGTGCACGCCTTTAATCTCAGCACTTGGTAGGCAGAGCTAGGTAGATCTCTGTGTGTTCAAGGATACAGCCAGCATTGGAGACACATGCTCCAATGTTTGTCTGGAGGTCTGTACAGACAGACAGTGACTAGGCAGTCACGTGGTTGTCTTTACAACCAATGAGAAGGCAGAACAGAAAGTCTATATAAAGACAAACAGACAGGAAGTAGGTTTTTTTCAGAGAGGTCACTTGGCTGGAGAGGCTAGCTGCAGCAGGCGGGTAAGGCTCTTAGCGCTGATCTCTTGGCTTTCTTCTTTGCATTGGCTCTGTTGCTTATTTAATAAGATGGTTGGTTACATCTACATAGGTAGGTGGGCTTTCAGAGAAAAGAGGTGTTTGTATTGAATTGAAATGTAAACAAGTGAATCTGATTTAAAAAAATAGTATCATCATAGGCCCAGTGCGATTGCTGAGAGAAAAGACACATGCTGCCAAGCATGATTACGTGAGTTTGATGCCTAGGACTCACATGACAGAGGGAGAGAACCCATGCCCATAAATTGTCTTCTGATATCCACATGCACACAGTAGCACACATAGTGCTCTAACATAATATATACATACATGTACACATAAATAAATATACACATACATACACATACATACATACATAATGCACACACAAAATAAATAAAAGTAAAATATTAAAATAGCATCTTCCATATCCACGAATTACAATAAGTATAACCTTCACTATGATAGTGTACAGTTGGAGATTTTGAGTTACTATAATGCCATTAACTTATATTGATAACACTGAGACCACATTCATTTCTTCTCTCTAAATATTGTTGATTTGTTCTTTTATGTTGTATCTTGGCTACTTAAATAGACACTTTTAGTTTCTCCAGGATATTTGAAGTATCATTTCAGAAAACTTTGGCATCAGGAAAAAAATACAGAACTGGAGATCAATATAAAAATAGTTTTTATTACTACTTATGTTGTGAATATAATTATAAACATTAATATTGGTAGTTTTCATGAATGGGTATTCTTAAAGCAATCTTTTCAACCCTCTTGAAATTGTTTTTGAGTTCATGATCACATGGGATGTACTTAAAAACTCAGAAATAACTTTTTATTTATGTTGCTTTTCAAAATGTTATCACAGCTCTTGATGAGGACCTTCTGTTCTTGAAGATACAAATAGTGGCACTTAAAATAATACAAACAAGTGCAATAGAGCCCACCACAGACAGCACAATAGTGGAAATACTAACTCCAGAATGTGGACTTCCCCCAGGACTGCCAGGACCGTCAGGACTGCCAGGACCGTCGGGACTACCAGGACCGTCAGGATCAGGCTCTGCTTGAGGCGTGAACAGTGCTACTTGTGCGATGTTGGACAGTTTCGATATCAAATTGCTTTTGTCGACACTTTGAATGGCAATGAAGATGTGGGTTGCATTTTCTTCTGAGATGTTTTCTGGTTTAAAGGCAAAGGTTTCCTTGAAGTTGGCTTCATTGGGTAACAGGTTAGTCGTATTAACTTGAAGAGCCCCATCAAAATTGTCTCTTAGGTCAATGATATTTTCACTTATTCTTATGATATACCGTTGAACTAAGAAAAATGTTATGCGTGGGTTAGTTGCTATAACATACCATATTAAATTTCTTTCTAATTATTCTAAAAAATGTTTAACATGCAAAGTATGCTCATATCAAAAGTTTTATTCATTTTTTAATAAAAATTGAGTTCTGACTTTTAAATGCTGCTAAATGCTACTCTCTTTGCATGCAAAGCAAGACCTGTTTAATAAATTATAAAATATCAGATCATAGAATTCCTACTGTGCTGAGTTCTCAGTTAAAAAAATCACCCTCTTCTGACTGAGCCATCACTATTGACTCACATTGGACTTCTCCCATTTAAGTCAAACCCACACGATTCTTTGTTCTTACCTTTTCCCACATCAAAATCATCTCCCGGTGCTGTCCATGTTAGACTGATCTTCCCTATCAAGTGTGGCATCAAGGTCTGTGATTTGACTTGGTGGGTACTGGACAGGCAATGAATAAGATGGAATATTGGATACCACAAATGCATCTCCAGATGTTGTTCTTCTGAAATTCTGAAATCCAGGACTGGATGAGTAGCCTCTGTTGTTTCAGGTCTGGGTGGGTTCCCTTCAATTTCTCCTGCATTTAAAATTCTCTAGATTAAATTGGATGAAACTGTACTAGTGTATTTGGAACTCAGTCAGTCAGCTCCCTGACCCTATTTGTTTTTCCTTTCTTTTTTCTTTCTTTGTTCAAACAGCTGCATTTTTATTATGTACTACAATATCTGGGCACTTGTAAATTTAGCTCACAATTATTTGTAGAAATGCACAACTGATATCAAGTCATGAAACTGGTCCAGTCACTGGCATGCATTAATCATGGTTGAGGTTGCACAATTTTAATTAATCTAAAATTTATCTGCAGGAAATCAAATACATCTAATTTGGCCATTTCCTTTTCACATCCATGATTTGAAGAAATTCCCAAATGTATTTTTCCATACATGAAAGTTACGTGTGTGAAACGACACCCTGTGCAGCGAACTCTAATTGTGTTACAATATGCAGTCACTTCACTCCCGCCTTATTCTACATCTGCTATTGTGTGATGACACGTGCATCTTTTTCCGTAACCTGATACATGCATTACTTTGGTTTCGGTTAGCCATACCTGACTGAACTGTTCAAAAGTCAACTTCCTGCTTCTGATGTTTCCAGTTGACCCTCCTTTTCCAGCCTCCTGTGAGAGAGTTGAAAGCCAAAATGTATATATGTAGAAATTGACACTTCCAATTTTCTGAATTCTTAAGTAAAAACAGTCACTTAAAGTGAGGCAAAATCCCAAAGCCATCTCTGGCACCGGAGCCACCAGGAAATTCCTATGGAAGAAAGTTTAATGTCTGCGCCTATGAATGAGACTTGGCCCTTCACAGACTGGCTGAAGCAATGGTAGGAGATGGTCAATAGCATGCGGAACTAAACTTGGGGTGTCATCTCAGAGGTCTCACTTATTATAGCAGAGACAGCAGGTTTGGGGGTTAAAGTCCTAAAAAAAAAGGCATGGGCATCTTAGTGTGAGGGCATTGGTACCATTTCATGGGTCCACTTTGGAAAAGGAAGGGCTATGACTGTTGAAACAGTTTTCCATCCATTGATATACACTTATCTAACACTTTCCTATTACTGTGTAGTATGGTAGCAGTGGGTATGCACACACTTGTCAGCCTTAGCAGACACACTTCAGCTTTTCATTTACAAGTGTGATGTTCACAGTGGGTTTTCTTATAAATAGCCTTTTACACAGTAAGAAAGTTCCCTTCTACTGTAAGTATTTATAATGAATGAATGATATGTTTTATCAAAAGTTCTTACACATATTGTAGAGATGATAAGTTTTTAACTTTTATTCTATTCTGTGATGAATTGCATACATATGTATTTAAATAAAATAGAATTATATCACTTCTTCTTTTCTTTTTGTTCCCTCCAGCCCCTTCCACATCCTCTCCCACCAACTCCTCCCATGACCTCCACCATCTCTCAAATTGATAGTCTCTTTTTCTTTGACTGTTCTGTTATTGTTTTATATATATTCTTATCAAAATAAATTTCATGTAACATGAATCTTAAAAGGTCTTATTAATAAAAACAAACCCAGGGCCAAGTATTTGGGTGAACGCTGGAAGATCAGAGAGACAGAACACAAACCACAGTTGACCTCACCTCACCAACTTCTCAGGTGATCCTGTATCCTTGAACTGGAAGCTTCTGAGTCCTCACCTGAATGGATCTCAGCTGAACTGCTACTCAAAAGCCTAAAAGCTTAACCAGGTTCTAGCTCCTGCTCCTCATGTCTTATATACCTTTCTGCTTCCTGCCATCACTTCCTGGGATTAAAGGCGTGTGTCACCATGCCTGGTTGTTTCCAGTGTGGCTTTGAGCTCACAGAGATCAGATGTATCTCTGCCTTCAGAATGCTAGGATTAAAGGTGTGTATGCCACCATTTTCTGGCCTCTCTATATAGTGGCTGTTCTGTTCTCTTTGGCTATTACCTCTGTATTTGGCTTTGTGTTTCTTATTTAATAAGACTATTTAGAATTTCATCTACAATTTTATACATACATACATACTGAGTCCTTTTTTGTCTGTGTATATATGGTTCAGGGATGACTATTTTTGTACTGAGTAACCACTTAGACCGTGGTTCATCCTGGGGAGAGGTTAATTTTCCTTCTCTCGTCAGTCATTAGTTGCCCTTAATTCTTCATCTAAAGGTGGGACCCTATGAAATCTGCTGTTTCCTAGTTAGCATGTGTATTAATATTGTCATTGTTCAGGTCTTGTTTGTGCAGTTGTTTCTAGGAAAGACATTATCAAAGCAAACTTCCTGCTATTCTGGATCCAACTATATTTCTGCCCCCTATTTCATGATATTCCCTGAGCTGTAGATGCAAGAGCTATGATTCAGCTGTATCCATTGGGGCTAGGGTCCCTACAGTCCATTGATCTCTGCATTGTGTCCAGCTCTGTGTTTGTGGTGTGTGTGTGTGTGTGTGTGTGTGTGTGTGTGTGTGTGTGTGTGTTGTCATTGTTATTATTGTCCCATTTTGCTTTAAAGGGAAGCATCTTTGATGTCAGGTGGTAGTTATGCTTGTATATGAGGTATAAGGATAAGAACAGGGTTGTAGGAATTATGTTGGTCTAGTAAAGTGACAGTAGTAAATTCTCTCCTAAGATCACCAGTATATGAACGCCACTTATTGTACCTTATGGCCATCTTGTCATGGCAGTCATCGTTGTGGTTCACAGGTGTCATGGATGGGTAGAACTATTTTCCCCCTTCTGAGAAGCTTGCATAGTACTTTCTGGAACTATAAAACTAGACCACAGGAAGGGAGTTTTCAGGTCAGATCCAGCTCAAATCCTCTTGGTCCTATGTCCTAAGTATATGGTGTCTTCAGCAATAGGGACTTACATTAAACATTTGAGAGGCAGCCAAGGGCTACAGCAATAGCCTACACTGTTTGGGAGTTACCTGAACTACCCTGACCAACCACTTAAAAGGAGGTTTCTCGAGTCTTGTACATACATTTTTGAATGGTAAATCATTCTTACAGGACTATGAACTTCTTGGTTAAGCATATTATTCATTTATGAGACTTTTAGATTCTGTTTGCTAATGTTTTGTTAAACATTTTGGTCTCTGGGTCCAGAGTAAAATTGGAGGCTGGAGAGACTGCTCAGCAGTTAAGAGTGTACAGTGCTCTTCCAGAGGATTCAAGCCTAGCTCCTCACATTCATGTTTCTTGGCTTACAGCTATCTAGAGCTCTGGCTCCAGTACATCTGATACTACCGAACCCTTGTGGGCACCTGCATTCATGCTACACGTACATCCTGTGGTAGCTAACCTTGGTTGTCAACTTGACTACATCCACAGTCAACTTGGTCGAATTATTTGAGGTCGAAAGACACACCTAAATCTGGGACACATCTTCTGGTGGCAGCACACATAAAAGGACATGGGAGAAGGACACTTTTGCTTCTTTTCATGCTTGCCTTCACTCTCACTGGCAAGTTCATCTCTCCAGCTACAGGAGGCCTTCCTTCACTGGGATTAAAACTCACTTCTTCAGGATTCCAACCTAGACTGAAGACCAGCAGCTCTCTGGGAATCCTCCATGTCATGGAAGCCAACCCTATAAATCATATGTATATGTTATGACCCTCTAGAGAACTCTGGCTAGCACTTCATGAAAAGAGAGATTCAATCTTGAAACTATGCCTCAAGGTTTTATAAAATGAGGGTGATATTTATGGCTTTGAACCACAAAGTGGCTGGAGAGTGGAAGCGATACCACTTTTAGAAAGGAGTGATGATTGGTGCTGGCTTCATAGGAACAGGACTTATAAGAAAGGCACTGGTTATGGTCTCCCTTTATGAGGAGTTTTTGGGGAGGGATCTATTGTGTGAAAAGTATTCAGAATGATCTAGAGACTGTAACTCAGTTCGGAGGGTCATCTTGAAGGCAGAGGATGCAGACCTTTCTGTGGCCAGATCAAAGTTACTGACATGTCTGAGAGAAGCTTTAACATGTTTCAGATGAACCAGCCTGACTCTGTTAAATTTGCTGAACCCAGCTTCTTTTTGATAGCTCTCTTTGACATGTAAACTAGTGTCTTTGGAAAATACATCACAGAGTGACTGTTCACCTCACCTCTGGGTGTGATGTGATCAGCTGTACTCACAGCAGAATGAGCTGATCTTTATGAAGAGTTTTTACTAAGATGCTAAACTAGAGCATCTTTATAAAGACAACTGAGAAATTCCATTTAGTCTCAATTCTAAGAAAAGCTTCTAAGCAAATGATTTGTTTTGATGTTTCAAAAGTTGCAAATTTGACAGATGAGTAAATTTCCTTTTTTAATTGCTTATACCTGAAACATTGAGTCAGATTAGTAAATGACTTTTAGAAAAGCCCATGGGCCTTTCTAGGTAGAAAGGAGCTTTCTCAATTCAGCCTTATTCCTGGCTTCACTTTCCATTCCTACCATTGCCTTTGCCTCGTACACTATCTTTCCTTAAATATCTTCATAAGCTGCTACTGATCTTTATGGAACAAGAAAAGCATAAGGCAGTCATCACATCTTCTGACTGTGTAAAGAACTAATTTGTTAGGTTTGCAGAGAGAATGTAGTACGTTCCATCCACTGTTCCATGAGAGTTAGAGAGATGATTTTCCACCTGATAGGAATAGCAGCCTGACCTTCCACACTGCCATCAGAAAGAGGGCTAACTAAACAGAAGGGGTTCTGAAATGGAAGCTGGCACTCTTGACTTATTTCATAGTTCTGCAGAGAATGAACTCTAGAGACACAAAAATTATCAGATAAATTGTTGCTAGAAAACCTTGTGGAAAATTGGTGTATGCCTCAATTCTGGTAGCCTGGACACGCTTATTTATTTCTAATTCTCTCCATGACATACATCTGGGGTTAATTATGGTGCATTATCTCTAACAGGATTGGCTCATGACGCCCCTTCTCTATGAGTCTTTATCAGCTCTGTCAGTTCCGGCCAACCGGTAGTGTCCTAACAGCTAGTCGAGCTTCCATTCTGTGAGCAGGCTGA